AAAGCTTTGAAGGAGCTCATAGTTCAGTAAAGGAATAAGACACGTAAATAAATAACTTGACCTTAGACAAGTTGCTTAATGTTTCTGTGCTTGTGTCTCCTCCGCTGTAAAATGGAAAAGATAATATTGTCTTTGTCTCAGGACTGCTGAATTAATATATATATATAATTGCTTAAAACTTTATATTTGTGCTCCCAGATAGGGAATACTGTATATTAGTCATAGGCTGGGCAAAGTTGAATGGTTTTATAGTATGTGAAATGCCCGTTCAGCACAGTTTTGGAGGCAGGAACGTGCAGGGATTCTAAAGCATGATAATGAAGAAATCAGTCTTCCTGTGCCTTGAGGCCCACACATAGGTATTATTTGTGCTTTTTTTGGTGATATGAATGAAAGGGAGATAAAAAATATTCTTCTTTCCTCTCTAATCCTTTTGTTCAAAATCCCTTAGCACTACAGACTCACATAGGGTCAGGTTTTATAATGAGCATTGACACAATTCATGAACATTTTGATACATTTCAGTAGTTTTGTAGTTGATCAATTCAGATGTCATATATTTTTATCTTTGTCCTGGAAGTGGTTTTTCTGGTGTAATTAATAGTCCAAAGAACATTTGTCAGGGTCTGGTTGTCTTTCAGTAATGTGTAGTAAAGGCCTCACTGTTATTCTCTCCAGTGGTTCTGTGTCAGTCTGAGTAACAGAATAGGGAGTGAAGTTTATTGGATTTCTCTCATATTTCTTCCCACTTGGTGGTTGTGGATGTGTACTTTTGGGACTTCCCTGTATGATGATAGTTCTGACCAATCCTTAGTTGACTCTTAAATATCAGATCTTTCAGTGCCATAACATTTAATATGGATTCTCCCTCACTAAGTGAAATACTGGCAACCTTTAAACCAGTAGCTTAGTTGGTTATTATAAATGAAAGTTGTAGTTCACCAATTTTAAGTTGAACCCCTATTTTCCATCAGTACAATATTGCAAATATAAACATCATCACAAAAATAAATGAAAAATAAAACATATGCATTTATAAATATTTGTTATGTACATAACACCAAATGCTGAATGAAAAACTCATTATATAAGCATTTTGGGAGATTTTTCTATGTTGATCATTTTAGCTTAATGGTAAAGGCCATTGAAATTGGGTTGAGGGTGCCTTTCTTCCCTGGTAGCTTTCCTTTTAGCAAGCATTGGTATCCTCTGTTGTTCTGAGGACCTTTAGTGTCTCTTGTTCAAAATTAGGTTCATCTGTCCAGTTGGAAAATGGTAATGGGGGCAGTCAATTTTCATACAAATGACTTCTCTACTCATCTGTTATTCCTTGTTTTGTTGACATTAATCACCTTGTATAGAGCAGGCTTTTTCAATTATCGAACTGACTTTTCTGGGAAGTTCTTTAATGCGTCTCCATTGGATTTCATGACTTTCCCTTAGACTTTAACAATTTTCCAAACTAGTTCTCTTCTAAAATAATCAAATCATACTTTGCTCATGGCTAAAAACTTATTTTTAACCTTGGTTTTAAGCACTTGGGAAAGAGACAATTTCTTTTGGAAATTGTTGCTAATTTCTCTCTCATAAATCAACTCATCACATTTTCTTATTACTGTTTATTGCATTGGCCAGGTGCTGTTTTACTTGGGATGGTGTTAGTGAGTTTATTGCAGTTTTTAGGTATTTGTAAATGTAATCGTTGGTATCATTATTAATATGGGACTATTTGTCATGAAGTAGATCTTGAAATGTCAACCAGAGTCATGTGTATTTTGTTGACTAATTATGAAAAACCTTCTTGCTGGTGTTAATAATAATGATTTTTTTAATGATAGTCAATATATATTGAACATTTCCTGTATACCAGGTACTGTTCTAAGGGCCTTATATGTGCCAACTACTTTAATCCTCCCCAAGTCTAAATGAGGTCAATGTTGTTATTATCCCTATGTCACTAGTGAAGAAATCGAGTCATAGTTAGATTGAATAACTCCATCAAGGTTACACAGCTATGCAGGGCAGAGTCACAATTCTAACGCAGAAGTTAAACTTCTAAGAATGTACTCTTAATTCTTGTGGATTAGAATTCAAGAAAATCTTCGCTTTAGTCTCACTTTTATTTGGTAGGGCAGTATTACGGTGTTTACTAAATAGGTGAGCCAGCCAGGTCCCAGAGGTTAAACTCGTGGTGGGAGGAGCATCCAAATCCTGGAGCACTGCTGCTGTTACTCTGATCTCCCTTTTTCACATTCTAGCATCTGAGGATACTGGTAAGTTTCAGAACTTCTTAGTTTCTACTCTACTTTCCAAGTTACTTATTAATGAAATTGAATCCCATCGGTCCGTAAGAGAACTCTGAGTGATGCCTTGGCCTTTTGAGTGACAACTGGCTTTTTAACTGGTTTCCTATTGAGTTTCAGATCAATTTGACTTGTTCAGGGATGGTAACCACAGCGTAGTTACACATGTAGGCCCACATTATTATTTCTTGTCCTTTATTTGCCAGAACATTTTATTCTCTGCTAAATAATAGAAATAAATATAACTCCACATTTTAAAACCAATGCATAAATAAGGTGGCAATTAGTAGTAACATACTGTCTGTTTAGCCTTTTGTTTCCAAGGCATAGAACACGAACAAAAGAACTTTTTGGAAGTTTATTCTTGATACAATTTCCTTGAAATAAAACATTTATATTTAGAGTGAGAAATAATTGGTGAGAGAATTGTTGAATATAATAGAACTTGTTATATTCATTCCTTTCCTGCTGACAGATAAATGTTACCTTCAGATGAAACATGTATAGTTTATTGTTTGGAACAAAACAATGAATAGGGTTCTAATATAAAGAATCCTAAAATTAAGCAAAAGCAACCATTATTTTGTAAAGAGATAATTTAAGTTTACCATATAATTCCTTATTTTAGTGGAAATGGTGCATTTAAGTTTTAAGACTTCCTAAGCAAAGTGGGAAAAATAGATTAATAAGATGAATTAAAGTATATGTAAATGCAGTTTTGTGTTTTTAGAACTTTAGATTCAAAGTGTAGGTTTTGCAACTAAACAAATTTTCTTTGGTTCTATGGAAGGAACAGTATGATTTCTAGTTTTTCTTTTTTCTTGTTTTTGAAACACAATTTCACCTAACCCATATAGTAATTGACTTACATGACTAATATTTTAATTGTGAACAGAATTCATGAAAATGTTTTTCTCTGAATTTTATTAAGCATTCTATTATGCTATTTAATTTATGAAAAAATAAGTAGCTAAAATTTGGGCATTTAACAAAGGTAAGGGAACCAATTATTTTGAAGTATAAAGAATGATAAGATTTAGGGTAATACGTATTCTTAAGTCTTTTTTTCTTAAACTAAAGTATAATGAGATGTCCAACTATCTAGATGGTATATATATATACCATTACTAGGATAGCTTGTCCTTTCGTCAGTTTAATATGTATTAGGAAAGCATTCTTGTTCTCACTCTCAGATCTACAGATTCTAAATAAAAATGTACCTCCTTCATTCATTTGTTTTTTATGAACAAACTTTCCTTCCATTGCTGTATTCCAATCTTGAATTTTTGTGATACACGAGTTCACTTTAAAAATTCTTTGTTGTGTTGTTAATTAATTAATTAAATCTACACATATTTTTTTTAGAGTCTGCTAAAAGCCAGACACTATTTCAGATGCTAGAATATTGCACTAGAAAAAATAAACAAGAATCCTGCCTTTAAAGAATTTTTATTCTGATTGGGGAAGAGGTCCTCTCTGTTTCTTAAATGCTATCATGTGAAGAAAAATGAAGAACTTATGATGCTTTTATAACTACTTTAAACTCCTAAAATTTGGTTTAAAATAATTTGTTTTGTTGAATTGTCCTGGAAGAAAATGAAAGAACAGAAGGAAGGGTTTTTTTTGGGGGGGGGGGTTTGTTGTGTTTTTATATAAATGTTGGTGATCATACCTAAGATTAAGTCATGTTTGCTAGAAATTAGTTTCATAAGAAACTAATCTTAAGGAACTGTGTCTATTTTATTTATAAAAGTCATAATAGCTTGCTAGTTTTTTTGATTTTTTCCTCAGTCCTCAGTTTATTGCTATAATTTATTCTTATGTTGGAAAAGTGAACATTATCATCATCATTGTATCTAAATATTATCTTTTTTACTTTCATTTCAGTGGTTTGATAAAGTATTAGTCATTGACATGGAAGAAAATAGTTTTTTTTTTAATTTGGTGACAAATGAAAGTAATGTGTGATATCCATTCTAAATCATCATCTATATGATTCAGAAATTTAAAAATGTGAACTCTAGTGCCTTCAAAAATGTATCTCTGGTAGGATATTACATGCTAGCTGAAAATTTGTGTTTTAAATATACAATATAATAAACTTATTTTGTATATCTAATAAGGAACCTTGACTTTGGGTAATTTGCTCTAATAATAATAACTGCAAGGGTGATGCCACTGATTGATGAATCATCACTGCTCCTTCCCAGACCTCATTAGCTTCCCTCTTCTGCCTTAAACCCCTTCAGTGGTTTCCTATTACTTTGTACGTGAAGACCAATCTTTTTACCAACATAATTTTCAAACGTTTATGAAGTGTTTCTTGCACAAAGCATGTTGTATGACCTAATATAATAATATAAGAAAGTGCAATTCTTTCTATGAGGCTGTGATAAATTTCAGGAAAACACTACTCTTAATACTCAGAAATATTAGAGAAAATATTTTAATGAACTATAAAAAGGCAGGTAACTGAAATTTGTTTTTAATTTTTTTCTTTATTCTTAATTCAGAGTTGATTCAGTTGCTTTCATGGATTTATGGATGTTAGTATCATATACCACTCCAAATACTATAAACACGAATCTCAGAGATTAAGGTTATAGAGATACTTTTTGCGTCATATTCCTTGTGTAGCTAGTCATTGAGGTAATGTGTATTTAAAATGCTTATGCATTTTTTTTTTTTTAATTTAAGTTGTAGCGGTGACTCCTTGATGATCGTTCCTTGGCATGAACATAAACATCGAGCTAAAGATTGGTGTGAGACGTTGGAGTGCAGGTCAGTATGAGCCAGCAGGAAGCATCTTCATTTCTTTATGGGGTGGGTGAGTAGATGCCTTGTGAAAGTGGTGCGTGGCCTGTGAGCTCTTGCTCGATGATGACACTCTGTGATTTAGAAAGTTAGAGAGAAGTTTTAAAAAACGCTCTTGACTCAGTTATGTTAGAATTTTCTGATGAAAAATATTAAGTGCCACAAAGGAATTATGTTAAAAATGATTTTTATTATAACAACTCTTTTTATGTTGAGGTATCTCCTTTCAGTGTTTCACATAATAATGTATTTTTCACAATTGCAATTATGGTATGCATACAGTTTTGTTCTTGGTTTATTTTTAGTTTTCATTTTTATAAGATTTAACTTTGGAAAGCCTCTGAATGTGGAGGTATCAAGTACTGCAGAAGGGAGTGGGAGAAACGGTGTGGGGCTGAAAGTCCATGCGAGGTAGATTCGAATCCCTTTACCCCCCCACTCCTCAGAATCAGGCGGGTACTCTTTCTCTGCCTCTCCTTCCACGTTTTCCCTACGTGAGGCCAGAGGTTTATTTTTTGACTCATGCATTGAACCCAAGAGCCTCTAAATTGAGTTTGAAAACCCCCAGATTCCTGGATAGCAGACATGGCAGAGGACACGATAAAATGATGGCTTTGAAAATCTGGATATTTAGAAAATTTGTGTCCTAAAGGCTGAAACACTGGTTCCCCTCACCATCCCTGCTCCCAGATGCAGGCATATTCCCCAAGTAGAAGTTTGGAGAGTTCTTTTCTGGAGAAATGG